AGATACCACCTTACGTAACGGCTGCGAGCCCGTGAGGGGAGAGCCACCCCCCCGTGCCTGCCCAGCATTCGGGATATGCTCTGGGGCGCATAAAGATGCTGCATTACAGACAGGCTGTACATAACAAGTTTCCCTTCCTCCTCTTCCCTGTCAGACGCCGGCTGTGCCGTGCTCTCCCGTGGCCAGGGGGTGGCACACGCACTTGCAGTTTCTCTTGCAGTAAGAAGCGGCGCTGAGCTGCGACTGCATCATGATCTTACTGCTCCTTGTTAAAGGCGGACGATGAGCACTACATCCCGCGAGCTGTGCTGCTGGACCTGGAGCCTCGAGTTATCCACTCCATCCTGAACTCCCCTTACGCCAATCTGTACAACCCAGAAAACATCTACCTGTCAGAGCACGGAGGGGGAGCTGGGAACAATTGGGCCAGTGGCTTTTCACAGGTAACAGCTCTACTGCTCCTGGGTGCAAACACAGGTCACTCTTTAGGCGTGAGGCTTTATCGTGGCCTTCTCAGGTCAGGCTCAGTACGTAGTTTCTGAAGAATACTTCGTCATTCAGCAGGGACTTAGGCCTGACACTTCATAGCACCTTGGGCGCAGGGTCACTTTGCCACTCTGACTTGGCTTTGCACCGGGCTTGAGCAGCTCTTCTCCATTTTCTGTGGGAAAGGAACAAATCCTGGTCTGATTTCTCTTGCAGGGAGAAAAAATCCATGAAGATATTTTTGATATAATAGACAGAGAGGCTGATGGGAGTGACAGTTTGGAAGTAAGTAAAGCAGAGAATTTGGATCCGGTTGCCCTGCTTGGTGTTTTCCGAGCCGGGCTGCTCTTTTATACGGTCGAGTTCAGCCCTCTGGTGTACACAGACTTGCTCAGCTTGCTTCTAGGTGCTGAGCAGAGAACATGTAGAGAGGGGAACTAGGGAAAGGAGCTCTTTCTCATCACTACTGCATCTGCCAGGCTTCCCCAGAAATCTTACTGTATGCTCAGCAGGGCATTTTTCTGCCCCAAATACTGCTTGCATTGGGCGCTTCCCGCAGGATACGGTCCACAGGAAGAGTTCCAGGCCTTATGGTGCTTTTTCCTTTCCCTGTTCCACCTCCCTCCCATGTTCTCCCTTGCGTCGGCTGAAGAAGGACACATGCTGCTTGTCCTCCAGCAAAGGCCCTCTGCAGCAGAGGAGGGAGCCGCGCGCAGGCTGCCAGCAGGACGGTGTTTAGACCCAAAGTTGCCGAGTGCTTTGAAATCCACAGAAGGAGCCCAGGCAGCTACAGCTTCGTTTTCTCTCCAGCTGGGTTAAAGGGGCACCAGGGCACCAACAGCTCTTCGGCTGCTTTGCCGCATGCCTCTGGCAGGACCTTGGGTTTACACGGATGGTGGCCGTTCCCTGTGCGTAGACAGACAGGGCTCCCTGGTGTTTGTGTCAGGCTATCACATGGCAACAGGGGAAGGGAAAATGTCATTGTGAAGTACGTCGGTAGAAGATCCAAGAGCCCGTTGCGGGACCTGCCCTGAAGTCAGGTAGAGGGAGTTTGGCCTCAGGTACTCCAGAAGGAGGGGAATGGCATGGAGGGCCCAGAGAAAGGGATGAGAACATTTTGTATGACTGACTCGCCCCTGAACGTGACGTTGGAGCTATTCTGAAGTCTGTTCTGGAGTGCAAGGAATCCAGGAGGCTCCTGAGCAGCAGTTACGCTTTGTGGTGTGTAGAGATGTGCATTCCACCCACGCTGGCAGGAGTGGCCTGATGAGCCCATGGCTGTCGCTGTGGTCCGCAGGAGCCAGGGCTAACCTCCCCTCCATCCGCAGGCTTCAGCTCCGTGTTCTCAGTTGTCCCGGGGGTATTTCTCGCCCTGGCTGACAAGTCTCTGCTGGAGGTGGCGGCGGCACAGCCTGCTTTGCTCTCCATGCTCCTGGGGCTGAGCTGGACCTTGAGCTGCCTGCGTTCTGCTTCTTTCCAGGGGTTTGTGCTTTGCCACTCCATTGCCGGTGGTACGGGCTCCGGGCTGGGCTCCTACCTCCTGGAGAAACTAAATGACAGGTGAGCATTCCGCCTTGTCCCCTTCCCTGGGGGGCAGAGTCTGGCCCAGCCTGGGCACCCTGCCCAAGCTGGGAGCTGCAGAGCGCTGACTCAGAGCCACCGCCCCCACCCAAACACTGTCTTGTGCAATCCCTGGCATGCTGCCCGGGGAAGGGATGGCTCCTGATACGCCTGGGGATTTCAGAGCCTCCAAAACTGGACTCGTGCTGTCCAAACTCTGCCTTCCCTCAGCCATTCTTATCAGGCAGCTGCCCTCTGACACCTCGCTGTGCAGGGGAGGGTGGGAGGCTCTAGCTGTGAGCTCTGAGCTGCCACCCCTGCCTGTTTCAGCTTGCAGCCTCTTGAAAAGGCTTGTAAGCAGCTGCTTAATCAGCCTGCGGATGGCTTGGCCTCGCCTGTAGCTCCGTCTGGCAGCCTGCTCCTGTACTGCTAGGGTAGGCACTGCTGGGACAAATTCTCTCCCTCCCCGGGAGCCGACTCTGGCATGCAGTGCTGGTGACTCACTGCTGTCCTGAGCCCTGGAGACAGCAAAGGGAGCTTGTGGGAGGAGAGAGTGCTGGCTTTGTGGTTTTAACCCTTGAGGTGGCTGGGCTTTCTCACCAGGTATCCCAAGAAGCTGGTGGAGACCTACTCGGTTTTCCCAAACCAGGATGAGATGAGTGATGTTGTAGTCCAGCCGTACAACTCTCTGCTGACACTGAAGAGGCTGACTCAGAACGCTGACTGCGTGGTAAGAGTTCCACTGCGTGTCAGGCCAGCAGCGCAGTCAGCTCCAGCCTGGCACCCCTGTCCCCAGCCGCTCAAAAACGCAGCCTTTGCTGGGGCAAGTGCCGTAGCTGCACGGGGTGAGTGCCGCAGCAGCGTAGGCTGTGCCTGCGAAGCCTCAGGTGCAGCGACGAGTGTACCCCCATCCAGAAGGACTGAGCAGATGTGGTGAGCAGGGACGGGGGCTCTGTGCTAACCCCTGCTGAGCTATCCGGCTTGGCATTTCTGCCTCCGGGATCCAGCAGATTCTTCCCATGGCAGCAAGGACTGGCTGCGCTTCCTCTGCGTAGCTGCGCTGCAGCCTTCTGCCTGAACTCGATTCCAGCATCGTTTTCAGCACCCACAAGCCCCAGCCAGGCAGCCTCATTAGCATGCACCAGGGCCTTCGGTCAGGCCCTGACCAAGACACCGCTCGTCCCTCTGCACGTAGCAGGGCAAGAGAGCTGCGCCAGAGCTGCTGGGGCTGAAGGTTGCCGCGAGGTGCTGGCCCAGAGGCAGTGAGTGCTCTTTGGGAGAGCGCTGGGGAGCACAGCCAAGATGGGAGGGAAGAGCTTCCATTGACAGTGTCAGTTACGCTCCACAGATGAGTCAGCTTGTGGTTTCAAGTGTCTGCCACCTGCCGTGGAGGGCTTCGCCAGGCTGCGGCGCTCAGGGCCTGTGCTGGGCGATCCGGTGCCCTCGGACACGTAGCCGGGGCTGCCCTTCCTCAGACTGCCCCCGAGGCTCTTCACAGAGGCGGTTTTTCTCTTGCAGGTGGTTCTGGACAACACAGCCTTGAATCGGATCGCGACAGACCGGCTGCACATTCAGAACCCGTCGTTCTCTCAGATCAACCAGCTGGTGAGAAGGGCTCTTCTCTCTGCAGAAGCTGGCATGGAGCTTCCCGGCTTGGGTCTGAACCTGCTCCACGGGCTGGGCGCGGTGGTGGGCAGCCTGGAGCTGTGAACGAGGGTCCTCCGCCCTTCCCGGGGCGGCCTCTGGGCGCTCCAGCTTCCCCTGGCACAGCTGCACGAAGCAGGTTTCGAACGTGCTCTGTGAGCATGTGGTGACGCCACCGCTGACTCCATCCTTTCCCCCAGGTCTCCACCATCATGTCTGCCAGCACCACCACGCTCAGGTATCCCGGGTACATGAACAACGACCTCATCGGGCTGATTGCCTCGCTGATCCCCACCCCCCGGCTGCACTTCCTCATGACGGGGTACACGCCGCTCACCACCGACCAGTCGGTAAGGCAGCCCGCCAGGCACTCCTCCCCTTGCTGCCACGCTCACCTTGTAACATCCGTCAGTCCCATGGTCTTGGGGTGAGCTGTAATTGCGTGTTCCGCATCCCAGGCCCGTGTGCCCGTACCACGTGACAGCCGCGTGTGACATGAATCAGATGTGAGCAGGCAATTGTGCTCGTGCCGAGCTACCTGCTGCATGCATCAGGATGGCTGCGGCAGCTAGGGGAGAGCTGGCGGTATCTGATCTGAGAAAAGCCACCCTTAGAAACGATCGGAGCGAGCCCAAAGTGGCCCTGCCAGTCCTACTGCCCCGCTGGCCCAGGCCGTTTGGGCCGGAACGCTGTTGATCATTGTCGTGCCAAGACTGATCATGGGTTCCA